CAATTGGGTTTTCTCGGAGAGGTTTTTAACGATGCGACAAAAGGGGACGTCTCGAAGTTCAAGTATAGTTCATCGCCCCGCCTGCCGACTGCTTCTCCAGGCCGTACGATGAAGGGACTGGATACATGGAAACTTCTCCAATATATGTATGAAAGAAAGAACGCTTGTAATACTCTCCAATGAATGAAATAAAGCAGCATTTTTTACTCTCCACCAAGATATTCTCCAATGAATGAAATAAAGCAGCATTTTTTACTCTCCACCAAGATATTCTCCAATGAATGAAATAAAACAGCATCTTTACTCTCCACCGAGTCCCCACACTCCACATTCGACATCGTTCGAATTGTTTTACAATTCGACCTCGTTCGGATTATTTTACATTGAAGTGACTCGAATCACTCCACATTCGACCTCGTTCGAATTGCTCCACATTCGACATCGTTCGAATTATTTTACATTCGATCTCGTTTGAATTATTTTACATTCGACCTCGTTCGAATTATTTTACATTCGACCTCGCTCGAATCACTCCACATTCGACCTCATTCGAATTATTCCACATTCGACCTTGTTTGAATTGTTTTACATTCGACCTCGTTCGAATCACTCCACATTCGACCTCGTTCAAATTATTCCACATTCGACCTCGTTTGAATTGTTTTACATTTGACCCGGCTCAAATCACCGCACATTCGACCTCGTTCGAATTGTTTTGCGTTCGACCTCGTTTGAATTATCCTACATTCGAACTTGCTCGAATCATTTTATATTCGACCCTGCTCGAATCATCACACTTTCGACCTCACTCGAATTATTTCAAGATCTACGATCGACTACGCCAAGACGTTACACACAAGCGACCGAAAAACTCAGGGACTTCACCACATAGCAAACACAAAATATAACGACAATCTGGAAACACGTAGCAAAAAAGTAATGATTCCATTACAACTGTCATATTACAATACTTTTTACAAAGGGCCCTGAGACGCCCTCACAAAAATAGCAAGACAAAACAAAATAAGTACAAAGGCTTTACGTCGCATCATCCCCATCGGCGTACTTATCATTATACCAAGAATCGGAGACGAGCCTGTCCGCATCATCATCAACATCATCCTCGCCAGGCGTACCGGGGGAATAACCACAACCTTCGTGGGCCGCACGTTCTTTAACACGGACACCCTCGAGTTATGCCTCGAAAATTCTCCCGTCAGCCTTCAGAGACTTATACACATCAATTTAAGCCTCGGCGTGAACCACATCTCGTATAGCTCCCGTGGCCGACGGGGTCGGCAGAGGTATGAGACGTAGATGGTTGCGACTGCCGTCGCACTTCCTCAGCCTTCATATAACAACCTGCTCATTCAATTCGAACAACTCCGCCTCTAGATCCTGAATCCGCTCTTCCAACCTCGCCACCTTGAGCGCCGACGTCTCCACCTTATTATCCCGCTCAGACCTACAAACAAGGAGGGCGTCATCTAAGTCCGCTGCTTCAGACAGGGCGGCCATTCTATCTTTTTTGGCACGGGTCAATTCCTCGACCTTGATGCTCAACTCGCTCCTTAGAGCGACAGCCTCCGTTTCCCTCCGCTCAAGCTCAGCAGTCAAGGAAGCCACCCGCGCTTCAAGGTCGGCATTCTCGGCCATCACCCCCTTGCTCACTTCGAGCTCATCGTCTTTGGCCTTAAGAGACGCCTCGAGCTCGCTGCAGCGACCTATGGCTTTCATTAGCTCATCATCACGCTCCTTCAGCTCCTCAACTTTCCTCACTAACTCCTCCTCTTTTTGTTTGAGCCCGTTGTGAAACAGCTAAAACTCGCTATCTTGATTGAAGACGCCGGCCAGCGTTCGATGCTTAGTATGGTACTCTTTATACTTGGAAGTCACCTTCTTAAAAAGGGCCGTCCTCCGCTCCTCCCGCTGGTCACGCTCAATTCCCATGATTAGAGTTTGACATGCGAAAGGAAGAAGTTAGCACAAGCAGATTACGCAAGCGAGGCAAATCCTAAACATAAAAAAGAAAAAGAAGGGGGGGCACTTACTCGCAAAGCCATGCCGGAGATACTCAGTGATAGCTCTGCATCGCTCATCGTCTGCAGCGACGTGTTCTCAGAAGCCGCACACAAGGGGGCAAAGGACGGTACCGCCCGCTTAGAGTTAGCCAAAAGGTCATAACCCACGGGAATGATTATGTGCCTGTTAGGACCCTCCGTCCTCACCTCTACGTGAGTGTTCCTATCCAAGAAGGCCCGTATCTCATCGAGGTTGATGTCTGAACCAGAGCCGTCGTCCCCCGTAGGTACCACTCCTTCTCCTCCGGCCGTCGATGACGCACCACCTTCTGTGGTCCGTACAGGCTCCTCGACTCCATGTACCCCCTCGGCCCTAGAAGACCTCCCCTCCTTAATAGCATCTGCCATAAAAACGGCCCATGCGCCTGGAACACGTCCAGGCGCCGCTTCCTGAGCAATGGTTCTCTTTGGTTTAATACCAGTGGGGGCGGCCTTCCCAAGTTCCACTCTTCGCCTCTTTCTCGATGGCGACTCCTCTCCGTTAGACGATTCATCTACGAGATGGTAGATAGGCGGGGAAGAGATCTCGTCCCGTGCGGCAATACTCTGAAGGGGGGATCCCTCATTGACAAAGCTTGAGTACGACCTCTACGGACGGACTCAGCCAAAGTAAATTGCATCCCTGTCGATGCAATAGCCTAGCGAAACGCTGGCACTAGAGCTTTCTTTTTTGAAGCCCGTCGACCTGGCATCAGAAAGAGGTTGTATCAACGAACAATGGCAAACAACAGAAAGCGGAAGCAAAAGTAACACTTACTAGGCGGGACCTTCGGTCCAAAGCGTTTGTAGAAAACTGCCCAATCACGAATACTCGACATATGGGGCAACACGCGAGCCACCCGGTCTTCAATATCAAAGACAGGGGAGGGTGCACGCCTCTCTGCTGGAAAAAAAACAAAGAAGCCACAAATAAGCGGAAAGCGAAAGGACGGAAAGAAGACAACAAGCGTATGCCAAAAACACTTACGATTATGGTTCCACTGCTCGGGAAACCCAGTCGGGTCCGCCACTAAGTGCTCGGTTTTGATAAAGAAGTACTTGTGCCAAAACTTCCGATTCGTCCTGTCGTCCATTCCGACTATCAGCCCTCTGGTCTCATGATGCCGCAGATGTATCATAGTACCTATGTAAAACTTGGTGAGAATAAGTGCAATAAGTGGCGAACATCGACCTCACAACCAGCCAGTTCCGCATACTTCGTCAGCATCAGAAAAGCTTTATACAAATACGGAGATAGTTGTGCCGGCAGACGTCATAAAACCGGCAAAATTCTTCTGCCAACAGAAGAAGTGGGAGAGTATAGCCAATTAAGAAAGGGTAGACATAGAAGGCACAATATCCAGGTCGATGGACCTCCACGAAGTCGCCACCAGCCGGCACTATCTCGACGTGTGAAGGAATGGGATATGTAGATCGAAGCTCATCTATATGAGACGGTCCGATTTCAGAAATCACCTGAGCAGGAGCGGGAGCAGGTTCCTTGAGAAAATCATTTCTAGATAAGGGGTTTCTGGGGACTATCTCCTCCACGGTAGGAAAACTCTCGTCCTCTTCAGCTATGAGATCCTCACCACCGGAAGGAGGGGCCACCGATAACGGAGTGGCATCAGAAATTTCGTCGTGAATACGAAGGGTTTGCGATATTTCGACAATAAAAGGTGTACTACTAAACCTGGAAAAGAAGGTAACAACTGAGTAAGAATGGGAGGTATGGAATCGTGAAAGCAAAGTCAAGAGCAAACACTGGCAAAGAAAATCAAAGGAGAATAGTGTTCATGCAAGAGAAGAGAGGGTGAAAACTTCTGAAAAATGAAACCCCCATCTATTTATAGGGCTGGGTGGCGCGAGAATCAAAGTAAAGGATTGTTAATGACACCAGAACCGAAGCGACAGGCACGCAGACGCAGTCTCGGAAAGGTGCGTAATGATGACGCGCGTGGCTATGACGTCACCCCATGGTAGCCCCACCAATCACGACTTCACCAGTCGCGCCGTTCTCTCCATATGGGTCGACTCTGCTTATTCAACGACCAAATTCTTCTGAAACGAAGGCAAATCAGATCCGCTTATTGAGGGCATGCAGGACCACGACCTCAACAAGTGGAAGGACTAACTGTATAGGTCTAAATTTGGCGTATCGAAGGTAAAGCCTAAGTAAGATAAAAGGTGGGGTCGACCATGGTATAATAACTGGGGATTGCTCTCAAGACGTTTAATGCCAACGACGGGCAGCTTAGATGAGGGGACAACGGTAGCATAGGTTTATAATATAGACACAAGGAATATTCCTTAGGATATTCCTTGCTTTGTACTTTTTAGGGTTTTTGGGAAATGTCCCTTATAAATAGGAAGAGATAGAGAACAAAAGGGGGATCTTCACTTCTTGATAAAAGCACTTTATGTAAAGAGTTGACCTGGGAATATACTGAAATTGTCTCATTCATCAATTACCTTGTTCAAACCTACATTTTTGGTTCTATATTCGCGAAATCCAAGGATCCTAGAACTCTATATTATTCTATTCATTCCACGTTGTTGTCAGGAGAAGGAATCGTTCGAGTCTCACAATAATTGGGAAGTAAATCCTTTTTGTTATGCTAGTAGAATTAATATATATTCATTGCACATTTATGTTGTTGCATTTATGAGCATTTAATCAGCTCAAACACATTTATTAACATCCTCCACCTAGCATACTTCGTTCAGTATTCGGTCTAGAATTTATTATCCTTAACTAAGATTCACCCTTCTTATCAATATTAATTGGTTTAATCAAAGAGCTTAACGCTTTTTGATTAAACATTTATATCTTATCAACTTTCAATATTAGACTATATTCGCAAATCAAATGATTTCCTTCTCAAACTAAGTACCACATTTGATACTACTCACAAAGATTCATGGATTCATTGTGTGGCACTCATTTGAGCTCGGTTGAAGCTTGATTAGATCTTCATGGGCTGCAATATTAGTCAATTTCTTTCTAATATTTTACTCAAAAAACAAGAAAATAAAGAGGAAAGAACCGCGAGTATTTTAAACTGCTCCCAAGCGACATTAGTGTGGTATGGCCTACGTTGATTCGTTACTGTCAAAATGCACTTCTTTCTCACAACTCAAACAACTTCAAGCCCATCTCGTAACCACTGGCATTTTTCAATTCTACACTTGCCGCGCCAAATTCTTGGATTTCTGCGCCGTCTCTTCCGCCGGCAACCTCCCTTACGCCGCCCATATCTTCCGCCACATCACTTTCCCTTACAAGAATGAATGGAACGCCATCATTCGCGGCCTTGCCCAAAGCCCCAAGCCCATTGATGCTGTCATCTTTTATGTCTCCATGTCTCGTTTGCCTTGTAAGCCCGACGCTCTTGCTTGCTCCTTCACCCTCAAAGCATGTGCCCGTGCATTGGCCCGTTCTGAAACCCCACAGCTTCATACCCATGTGATTCGATTTGGGTTTGCATCAGATGTCTTGTTGCGCACAACTTTGCTGGATGCGTATTCGAAATGTGGTGATTTGGATTATGCGTGCCAAGTGTTTGATGAAATGGTTGTGAGAGATATAGCAAGTTGGAACGCGTTAATTGCTGGGCTAGCTCAGGGGAACCGACCCACAGAAGCTTTGCAGATTTTTAAGAAAATGAGGGAGGAGAATATGGAACCAAATGAGGTCACTGTGCTTGGTGCTCTCTCTGCTTGTTCGCAGTTGGGGGCGAACAAAGAAGGCGAACGTGTCCATGAATATATCAAAATTAAGAATCTTGATTGCAACGTGATTGTTTGTAATGCAGTTATTGATATGTATGCTAAATGTGGTCTTGTTAGAAGAGCTTATGAAGTGTTCAATGAGATGAAATGCTCGAGCACTCGTGTCACGTGGAATACCATGATTATGGCACTGGCAATGTATGGAGATGGCGAACAAGCGCTTGAGCTTTTCAAGAAAATGGGCCAAACTGGAATTGAGCCAGACAGCGTTAGTTACTTAGCTGCAATCTGTGCTTGTAACCATGCGGGAATGGTGGACGAAGGAATAAAATTGTTTGATGCCATGGATAGATGTGGAGTGAGTAAGAATATAAAGCATTATGGTAGTATGGTGGATTTGTTGGGAAGATCCGGGCGATTAGATGAAGCTTATAAAATTGTAGAGTCGATGCCTACGGTTCCTGATGTGGTTCTATGGCAAACTCTATTAGGGGCTTCCAAGACTTACGGTAATGTGGAAATGGCAGAGAGAGCGTCCAAGAAGCTCGTTGAAATGGGATCAAATCATTGTGGGGATTTCGTGTTGCTCTCCAATCTTTATGCGGCGCAAGGGAGGTGGCATGATGTGAGAAGAGTAAGAGAGGCCATGAAAGGCCAGGATGTAAAAAAAGTACCGGGTTTTAGCTATATTGAGGTTGGTGGAACGATATACAAGTTCATGAATGGTGATATGAACCATCCAAAGTGGAAGGAGATTTATTGGAAGCTTGATGAGATTTTGTTAAGGATTAGAGAATACGGGTATGTGGCAGAAACTAATTATGTGTTCCATGATATAGGACCGGAGGAGAAGGAGAATGCACTATGTTATCATAGTGAGAAGCTTGCAGTGGCTTTTGGTTTGATCAGTACACAAGATGGCACTTGTATAAGCGTGAATAAGAATCTTAGAATATGTGGGGATTGTCATGTTGTGATTAAGCTCATTTCAAAGATATATGAGCGGGAGATTATTGTGAGAGACAGGACTCGTTTCCACAGATTCAAAGATGGGGCTTGTTCTTGTAAAGAATACTGGTGAGATTGATTCAAATTTTTATGTATAAAGCACATTAGTTTGATGTGGCAGGGGAAACCATATGTATGACTAAAAGGGCTCACCTTGTGCGGAAGTTGCTCCCCGAGACTGAGAGATAGGGGAGAATGGGCGTATATTGTATGCAGTATTCTTGGCATTTCCGCAAAAAGACTCAAGAGATATGACTCATTTTCAAAAATCTGAAGAAAAGAGATTACTCTTGCAGAAATTTGTGATGAGGATTCTGTTTGTGTAATGTCATGAAAAGAGGAGCTTCAGGGGCAATTACTTTAATGTAGATTCAATTTTACTTTTGGCTCAACATGTACGCAGCAGTCAATAAACAAGTCGAACCACCGTGTTCTTTTTGGCTTAAGCAAATGGATATTGTGGCAAAGAAGCTATGTTTTGATAGGTGCTAAGCCAATATGAAACGAATGGTAAAACGGGCAATGACCATGAAATTTTACACTACGAAGTTTTAACAATTTTAATTACATGATCTTGATTTTTCCCAACTCACAACTCTTGAACGGCAATACAAAATCATCAACCTGCTAGAGTATAAGCAAGTTGCAATAGTTGAACAAGTAATACTGCACAAAGTAAGAACTCAGAAACAATAGGCTTACAAATCATCAAGAGGTTAGATAAAAAATACGAATAAGCAGGGTCAACTGAAAAGAAAGGAATGAACAATTCTAATTTCTGCAGCACATTTTCAAGTCTTGATGAATGTAGACCTTCCAAGGCAGCTGCTAGAGTGAACAACCTCAACTGGTAGCTATCCCTACAAAAAGCATGTTGAATCATACAGAGACTAATGATTGAAATGCAACTAATCTTTCACCAGTCGTGCCTCGAAACCACCCTCAGGTCTTTTTACAAGTCTGTATGGCACGTACGTTCCAAGAAGTTTGTCCCATATGGAGAAGAATGGCTGAGAATAATTGAACTTTGTGCCTTGGAGCTGATGATGAATGTCATGGTAAGCAGTGTTATTTTGGAAAAACAAATGGAAGATATTACCAGGCAGCCAGAGTCCACAATGATCATCAACCGTTTTGACCACAGCAAAGCAGAAAAAGATTACAGCAGTACGTGCAGTCATTCCGGCAACAAGAAATGAAAGAGCACCACCAAAGGTATCCAGGAGGAGACCTTCAAGTGGATGGTTATAAAGGGCCCCAATCGCGTAAGGCACAACTAACCGATGATGCTGGGAGTGAATATGGCGGTATAAAAGCTTGTTCTGATGCATGTAGCGATGCACAAAGTACTGCCATGTGTCCATGACCAGCATTGCGATAATTATCTGCACAATCTGAACAGGAATTGAGGGCTGAACTACATTTCCTGATGCAGTTACCTTTGAAGTTATCTGCCATAGAAAACCAGATACTTGAGTGAGTTATTGTCAAGAAATTGCCAAAGCTAATCAAATCACAAGGAAACAAGATCAACAATCTTCATCCTACAAAGACTTCATGATATCATATCTGGTTTGCCAAAACTAAATGAATCTATTCTTCCAAACTAATAATCTCTAGTAACTACTTCGCCATGGACATATGCAGCTGGTACAGGAAATTGATTTCCAGGATTTTCTGCAAGCCCTGAAACTTCCTCTTTGCATTGAATAGCTGTTAAGTGCCAAAATCCATTAATGGGAGTGAAATGAACTTCAGATAACCTTTTAGACAACCTCATAATTTTCTTTTACTCAGCACTAGGAACCCATCCAACATTATTTTGCGCTAGCTAGCAGCTTTGCCTTCTAACATAATGGAGAACCGGGTTAAGCTTCACAGAGTAAAATAGCTTAGTACAAGCATTAAGCAGCATTATATACCCCCAACGAAAAGAACACAAAATAGTCTTGTTTCTGAAGACAAGACAGGATCATTTTCAACAACAGACATCTAACTCAGCAATACATTTTGAACACTGGATGGATAGATTATAAGAATTGCAGTCGTGCAGACAAGTTACAGCTCTAACAATAAATTAGAAGTATCGGACAATTATCACAGAGTAACTAATGTCCGATTGAGAAGAAGTTGAGGCAACAAAGATATGATTTGAATCACAAAATATTATGGCTGCCAATAAATATAGTAATTCCCCCCACCCCCAACTAACACAAAATAAAATCTAATGAATTGACAGTCCATGAGCAAACTAAGCATTTTCATCACTCTCTAAAGTCCAACATGTAAGGATGAACATCAAGCACTACTCTGCTTATTTTGCTCCTGTTAAATCATTAACCATCTTTTACACAATTCCCCGTCACTTATCTGTGATAATCGCTCATAGAGACGTCAACATGTACATGACATCCTTGAAACTATATACATGCATGATTGTACCATAAAAATATTTTTGTTGCATTAACAACCCAACACCTCATATAGGAGCCTAGGAGGTCACTGATCATTCCACGTCTCAACTCTCAACAATTGAGGTCCATACTTCATTTTATGGTTATAGGTGAAGATTTTAAATAGCTGTAAATTTTGCTAAAAGAAAAAAGATGACCACCTTTATCCTGTGACCCTTTCAACTAATGAAATTCCAATGTGAAAACCTTGATGATCACATTAAAAAAAAGGCTTTACCCAAATTTAAGAAGTATTCAAACAAATTGTTAGCACAGGGAATTACAAGTTTAAGAATGAAAGAGGAAAAAAATCTCAGAGATAGCCCATTAAGGTGCAATTTAGCCATCTTTGAGGGAGGAAAGAAATTAATGAGTTCTCTTTTAGTGATAATGATGGTGTCCGGTCCAACTTGCGCGCACTCGACTATTTCATCAAGTACCTGCTACCTCCCACTGGCACAAGTACTGGGAAAACACTACCCACCAAGGCTTAAGCAAATAGGAAGAAATCATAAAACATTTTCTGTCTCCACTGGAATTTGAACCCTGGTCTACTTGGTTTTCACTCACTTCATTGACCTTCAGCCACGTGCTTGGATGCGAAAAGAAATTTAATGAATTGACGAACCCGTTATGGAGAGTTTAGATTTCTTTCTTCCTCTGGCTCATTTATCGATCCATGTTACTTAGCATACATATGACCTAAGAACAGAATCTGGATGTATAAGCTGGAGAGCTCACAGCAATTTCTAACTAAGAAGCAACCAGGACTTTCACCATAAAGAAAGGATCACTTTTTTGGAGGAAACGAATCTCCCAAAGAATGTGTTTTCTTCACTATTACAGGTACACAAATCCTGTAAGACCAATATTCAAAATTGCGGCTTATAAAAGGAATGGAAAAATTCTCCACATGTCCGACAATCAGTTTGGGTTCATGCCGGGCCTCTCCACTACGGAAGCTATTCACCTTATTAGGAGGTTGGTGGAACAGTACAGGGATAAGAAGAAGGATCTGCACATGGTGTTTATTGACTTGGAGAAAGCGTATGATAAGGTTCCTAGGGAGGTGCTCTGGAGATGTCTTGAGGCGAAGGGCGTGCCGGTAGCCTATATACGAGCGATCAAGGACATGTATGATGGAGCTAAGACTAAGGTTAGGACGGTGGGAGGCGACTCGGAGCATTTCCCGGTTGTTATGGGATTACACCAAGGCTCAGCGCTTAGCCCGTTCTTATTTGCCTTGGTGATGGATGCTTTGACACACCATATTCAAGGGGAGGTGCCATGATGTATGTTATTTGCTGACGACATAGTTCTAATTGACGAGACGAGGGCCGGTGTTAACGAGCGATTGGAGGTTTGGAGACAGACTCTCGAGTCTAAGGGTTTCAAATTGAGCAGGTCTAAGACAGAGTACCTGGAATGCATGTTTAGCGCTGAGTCGAGGGATGTAGGCGGGGACGTGAGGCTTGGGCCACAGGTCATCCCCAAGAGAGATAGCTTCAAGTACCTTGGGTCGATGATTCAGGGGGACGGAGAGATCGACAAGGACGTCACTCACTGCATAGGGGCGGGCTGGATGAAATGGAGGCTTGCATCTGGAGTCTTGTGTGACAAGAAAGTACCACCGATACTCAAAGGTAAGTTTTATAGAGCTGTAGTTAGACCGGCCATGTTGTATGGGGCAGAGTGTTGGCCGGTTAAGAACTCTCATATCCAGAGGATAAAAGTTAGATGCGGATGTTGAGGTGGATGTACGGGCACACCAGGATAGACAAGATTAGGAATGAAGATATTCGGAGGAAGGTGGGTGTCGCCCCTGTGGATGACAAGATGCGGGAAACGAGGCTCAGATGGTTCGGGCACGTGCAGAGGAGAAGCCTCGATGCACCAGTGAGGAGGTGTGAGAGGTTAGCCGTGGTGAGTACGGGAAGAGGTAGAGGGAGACCTAATGGAGAGGTGATCAGGCAGGACATGGCACGACTGCACATTTCCGAGGACATGGCCCTTGATAGGAAGGCCTGGAGGTCACGCATTAGGGTTGTAGGATAGAGGTAGTAAAGCTTTCCTTACTTCATTCCGGGGGTGAGGCGGGGTTGGATTAGGGTTGGTCTTAGAGGGCTTGCAGTTTATGTTGGACCTACACTATTCTTGTTGTTTGTCTTAGCCCCGGGCCTAGATTATGGTTACTGTTATTGCATGTCATTCATCTTTCCATTTTTATGTTTCTGTTATTATTACGATTTCCACTGGAGTTACTAATGATTTCACTCCTCTTGTTTTTTCTTACTTTATTTTTGTCTGTCTGAGCCGAGGGTCTATCGGAAACAGCCTCTCTGCCCTTATCGGGGCAGGGGTAAGGTCTGCGTACACATTACCCTCCTCAGACCCCACTATGTGGGACTTTACTGGGTAGTTGTTGTTGTTGTTGTTGGCTAAATTTTATTGCTGTTATTCAATGGTTACAATGAGGAAATCCAGGCAATAGCTATTCATAAAATAAGCATTTCTTGTCATAATAGCTGTCAGGATGACAGTTTTGGCACCTCACATTCATCTTTTAGGTTGATCAGCTCGCTAGTGACTAAAATCTATCGAGACCTAAAGTCTCTACATCATAGGACACAGTGTCATAACAGCCTTTAGAAATTACAAACTTCTGCAAGTTTTTACTCTAAAAGCTTATGCGTACCAATTAATAAAAAATAAAAGCAACAAGCAGTGTCCAGATTTATACAAGTGTGGCATCTCAACACTACTGGCTACACATTTTACAAAATCCTGATTGCAAGACGAAACGGAATGCAAGTAACCCAGACACCGTATCTCCTACTACTTTGACGATAATGGGAGAAAGTGATCCTTCAGATGGTTTTCCTTTAAATTTGCTCTTAGCTTATGCAAGATGAAAAGCTGCCCTTGATTGTCAAGTCTCC